TAATGGCTGGGCTAGGATGGGCTAGCGTGAGTTTAGTGCATGTCTCCCATGTAGTTGGCAGGTGGGAGTGTTGTATTTCGGCCAGAAGTGCTACCGACCCCGTTTACTGACCTATAACTGTACTCAAAAGATTTTTTCACATGCACATTTAAAGATCTTCTTTTTATGTTCGACCGAGAGAGCTTATTATATGTCGTGGTGAAGACAGACCACTTTTGGCCAACCCTGTTAGGATTTCTCTACCCCTGCTGTATTCTGTTTCCCAATTTTTATTCCAGATTAGGGAAGTTTTCCTTTATTATTTTATTGAATACATTTTTAATTCCAGCTTCTTTTTCTCTACCTTCTGCAACTCCCATGTCTCTTACATTTGGCCTTTTAATAGTGTCTGTTAATTGTTGAATACATTTTTTTTTTAGCTTGACCCAGCTCTGCTTCAAGTTTTTGGATTGTTTACCCAAGAATTATCTTCCAATTCTGAGATTCTTTCTTCTGCCTTATTCATTCTATTATGGAGAATTTCCACTGAATTTTTAATTTGCTCTATTGCATCCTTCATTTCCAATAATTCAACTTTGTTTTAGTGTTCCTATTTCCTGTGTGACATATTCCTTAAAATTCCTTAAACTCCTGTATGTGCTTCTCACTGTTGATAAGAAACGTTGTCACCCCACACAAAATAGTATTTGATGTGCCTCTGGTGTAGTTCTGTCTCTGCTGGCTGTTAGGTCTGAGGGCTACCCAGACCTGTTTTGGTGGAACCTGTAGGATGTAATGTGCTGAGCTATAAATGAGTTTGCTCTCAGCTTAGTGCATGCACAGTCCCATCCCATAGCCTTAACAACCCTACTCAAAATGACACTTGATGCAAACAAACCAGCAGGAAGGTAACTGCTTTTCCTGGGTTCACCTGTTGAGCTTTCAATGAACTTCCTTTCACACGTGGCTGGAGCACGGGCCACTATTGGAGCTCAGATTGCTGCTTGCTGCTGGCTGACTGGTCCTTGCAACAGCACCCCGTTGTCTCATTTGCTCTCTCATGTCTATCAGTTTCCAGGTGCCCCTCTGCCTTTGGCCTGTCCTCTCCTATTTTCTGGAATTGGCCCTCTCTCATCACACAAGCTAATGATTCTCCATCTGTTTAAATGTGTCCTTACCCTATTCTGCCATTTGATTCTCCTCCTGCTATGGCATTTTAACAAGAACCTGGCTTATGTTTCTAAGATATCTAACAAAAACTTACATACTGGCTTACAGCTAACAGCAAGAGAAGCCACATTCTGTAGGAGAGCTGATGCAGACATTAAGTAGGAAGGCAGTTGGAAGAAGAATTCCCACTTCTGTAGGAAGAAGTCCCACACTGTGGTTAACAACCCCCTTTACTCCAGATTCAATGATTTACATTTATTTATGCTATCTGGAAACATCTCCATGGAGACACAAAAATGAACAATGCACTGAACATATCCTTTCCTATCTGTGAATGAAGTATTACCTTCAGCTGGTTCTAAAAACTAGTCTATAATTCTTTATTTTAAACCATAACTGCATTCAGTAGCCAATTACAGCTGGCTTCTGAAGTCTTCAGCAATTGTTATCTAAGTCATTTTAAATAAAGAGCTTTGAAAGCTTTTGTGACTTCTTTAAAGTGAAACACAGTGATCAAATGCTAATGCTGAAATTCAGGCTTTTCCTTTTTATTGCTAGATTTGAATGATATTGGTGGTGAAATATAACTGTGCTTGTGCTTATGGAGCAAATTTGCAAATGAATGTCACGTGAGTGTTCGTAAATGTCATCATTATTGATAATCTGAAAACTGTCATCAACAAAGAGCCATTAGCAGAATTCTTTGTCACTGAAATGATGAAATGATTTGAATAATCAGAAGACTGTCAGTTTTATATTAAGTAGCCCAGTCACCAAGAAATGTCATTTTGCCTGACCTTTCAATTTCAGAGAAGGGAAATATTTCAATACTTGTAAAAGTAATGATTCCAGTAAGAATGTCTCTCCAAAATATTACGGCAAATAAACATTATTTAGTATATACTAAAGATGTAGAATTTGCTTATTTGAAGAAAAAATAGATTCTGTTAACCAGGCAATGATATGTATTATTTGGCTTGAGTTACCATAATATTTGCAAGTATGTTTAGCTAATCTGGTATATATTCAAAGTTTTTATTTTGTCACCTGGGAAAATAGATATGATTAATCACCATATATTTCTACTCTAAGATGGCATATTCCCTAGCCTCTGCTGTGGTAGTTGGACGTGAATGCCCCATTATTAAAGGATTCCAGATTGATGGGAGAGAAACTTTATAAGCATGTAAGCGTATCTGAAGTGCAATGAAAGCAAACGTTATGAATTCTCTAGCTTCTTAACGTGATGTGTTTCTCTAGCTATTTTTATTCACTCAGATCAAAGCTATGACTAATCAAGTTTCACTCCAGTAAAGAAAATGTGAGCCACAAACTGGCTGATTTGAATGATCATCACTGAACAACTTTACTTCAGGTTAGTAATGAACCTTAAGGATATGTGTGACTTTGTGTCACAGATATAATTTTAAAAACATGAATTTATTTTATTATCTTGTGCATTAAATTCTTAGAGTATGTTACACTAATTTGTCAGTTAAAATTAACTATAACTTTACTCATATTTTAATTTGGAAACATGTTAGTCAATACACAAAGTCTGTGTATTTTCTGATTACAAGCTTAGCAATCATAATAATTTTAGAAAAGCCGATGTAAATCATAGAATTTTCTAAAATTAGAACTCAATTTGAGCTCATTTTATTACATTTTTAAACAATCAGTTTGAATGAGAAATAATTTACATAGCATGAAGTTCACTCATTTTAAGCTTATATTTCAACACCTATTAACGTGTTTATAGAATTGTGCAACCATCACCAATGCCTCTTTACAACATGTTTGGCTCAATGACAATGAAAATTTGTCTTTTCCTGAGTTTTCCATTTTGTTACAAATTTCCAACCATATGGTCCTTATAAAGCACCAAATTCAATTCAGTTCTGTTTTAAATTTATCTAGGAAACTTGATGGGAGCAAAGAGGAAAACAACACTAACCAGGATCTCTCTATGACTAGTTCATGTGTGTCCAGTTGATGTTAGGGTAAACTAGCTGAAGTTTCTTGATTTTGTGATTCTGCCCATGGAGTTCACAACGGCTTTCGCTTCTGATTCAAAACTGAGGACTAAGAAGGATTAGCACTTAATCATCGAAAAAGTGTTGCAATTAAGGTATTAATATAACACAATTATAAAATTCAGTAGCAACTAAAGGAAATCTTGGTAAAAATCTAAAAATCTCCACCTTCATATTTTAAGTTCATTTGTATCTTACAGTAGGTGAGTTGTGTCTTAATACAGCATATGAAAACAAATTGTTGAGAAGGCTCACTACGGAGGAATCTGAACTTGTGTTCTTTCAGAAACAGCATTGGAGCTGGATTCTAAATCATAAGATATGAGTGTCCTGAATCAGATCTTCCTTCTAGTTGAGTTAACCAAAATGTGATAGCCAAATGCATTGCAATTGTTTTCTTTATATGTGAGAAGGAGGTTTGCTTACTGCAAAGCTTAAAGGTAAAAGTATGTTCTCGTTATAAGGTAGTACATAAACGGCACTGCAGTTACAAAAATATATCACTCTGTTAACCTGATCCATAGCAGTCTATACTCAGCTATTTTACCTAATCTTTCTAGAATTTTATTACAATTCATACTTACAGCTTGTCTCAGTCTTTATAAAAGAATTCATTCGAATTCATGTTGTCTGAACAATTTATAATTATATTTTGTTCAGATGTTAATGAATAGTAGGTAATGGAAAGAATTCCATGGCTTGAAATTTTAAACTGTTTCTCTGATGGCGTGCATTTATATTTATATTAAATTTATGTAAGTTAGCCACTATTTAGACTCTTTAGATCGAATTTTCCTGACAGACAGAGTCTGGGGAAATTAGAGGTGGCATTCAATAACTTAACGGTGACATAACTTAATTCAATAACTAATGGTATAACATAATGGTGACATTTCCATAAAAAAGCTGGCATTTACGATCGGGCAAGGATCTTGTATAAATGCATCCTCTCCAAAGGAACTTTACATCTAGAATACAGTGTTTCTTTCTTTCAGCTTACAGGCATCCTTGCCCTGTTAAGCATGTAGTTTTGTGTTCGACTGCAAAGCTACCTCACTCACCAGTGTGCTTTGCACGCTTTGTTCTATGCATGCTTGAGAAAATGGAAACAAGAGAAAATAAATACAATAATGCGTGACATTTGAAAGTGTTTGTGGAAAATGGAATTAAAAGATAAGTTTATTTGAGGACAAAAATTTTGAAACCATGTGTAGTTTTTTCATAATACATATTTTCTATGAACCCTTTTTAAAGTTTCCTGAGATATTTGAAGACAACTCTTTCTTCCTGCAACTATTCTTAAAAAATAATAATAACTTAAGCACCTGATTTTTGCACTTTTCCCCTCCTTGCCCACTCCTCCCTCCCCCTTTTTTGTCTCATTCTCTTTTTTCTTCTCTTCTTACTTACTTCCTCTTTATTTTTTAATTGATAAGTTGAAATGACGCAGACTTATGTTAACACAATGTTTTTATGTTTTTTTTCTTTGTGGGATAATTACATCAAACTATTTCATACATATGTTGCAGGCACAAAATTATGTTTTGTGTGAATGTGGAGAACATTTGACATCTACCTTATTAGCAATTTTCAAATATATATTGTTCACCAAATCTGCCATAACACAAAGTATCTCTTGAACTTAATACTCGTTTCCAACTGAAACTTTGTGTCCTTGAATAACTTCACATCAGTCTTCTCACTCCCTCTCAGTTTCTGGTAACCCTATTTAATTTTATAGTTTCAAAGATCTGGTCACAAATGACAGAATTTTCTTTCTTTTCCACAGATTCAAAACCAAGTCTGAAACATGAGATGATGGATCTGCAGAATTATTCCAAAGTGTCAGAGTTTTTGCTGCAAGGACTTTGCAAATCACATTATATCCAAAATATATTATTTGTAGCCTTTTCTGTCATCTATACTGCCATTATGGTGGGCAATCTCCTCATTGTGGTCACTGTCATTTCTGATTCCCATTTGTACTCTTCCCCTATGTACTTCCTGCTGGGAAACCTATCTTTCCTGGACATGTGGCTGGCTTCATTTGCCACGCCCAAGATGATTATTGATTTCCTTAGCGATCAAAAGCTCATCTCCTTTGGAGGATGTATGGTTCAGATCTTTTTATTGCACTTTACTGGTGGAGCAGAGATGGTGCTGCTGGTTTCCATGGCCTATGACAGATATGTGGCCATATGCAAACCTTTGCACTACATGTCAATGATGAGCCGGTGGACTTGTATTAAACTGGTGTTGGTTTCTTGGGCTATTGGATTTGTGCACTCCATCAGTCAAATAGCTTTCACTGTGAACTTACCTTTCTGTGGCCCCAACGAGATAGACAGCTTCTTCTGTGACCTCCCCTTGGTCATCAAGCTCGCCTGCATGGATACCTATGTCTTGGGCATACTTATGATTTCAGACAGTGGCTTGCTATCCATGAGCTGTTTTCTGCTGCTGCTGATCTCCTATGCTGGGATTCTACTCACTGTCCGACAGCGTGCATCTGGTGGTGTAAGCAAAGCACTCTCCACCTGCTCTGCTCATATCACAGTAGTCACTCTCTTCTTCGGGCCCTGCATTTTCATATATGTGTGGCCTTTCAGCAGGTTCTCTGTGGACAAGCTCCTGTCTGTGTTTTACACAATTTTCACTCCCCTCTTGAACCCCCTCATCTATACATTGAGAAATGAGGAGATGAAAGCAGCTATGAAGAAACTGTGGAAAAGACAAGTGGCTTCTCATTGAATTCCAGCTTTCCATGGCACTTTATCTTGGTATTCATTCAGCAGATATTTTTTTTAAATTATTGTTCTGCTCAAATATTTTCTTCTTATATTAACTTTAAAAGAGAGGCATTTATTTATTTCAGAGACAGAGTGTCCATCTTCTCTCTCATTCCTCAAATGGCTGCAATGGCTAGGCCTGACTTTGCAAAGCCAGTAGCTTGGTGTGATTCTTAATGTGTTCAATTATAAGCAATTTGTTTCTGTAAAATTATATAATTTTATTTCATATATTGAATAATATGTACTGTACAATGAGAATCTTCAAAACATACTTTATACCTAACTCATTTAAAAATGAACTAATGCAGGTGATATTCAATTGCAGAAGTAATTGACTTTAATTCTTATACGTTGGTTTTGATTTATTCAGCAGGCAGATAGTGAGAGGCTGTGAACTTCCAAATGCTGGTTCACATCCCAAATACTGTGATGATCTGTCTTGGGTAGGATAAAGTTACAAACTTGGAACTCAATCTAGGTTTCCCATTAAGGTAAATAGACGGTAATACTTGATCCGTCGCCTGCTGATCTCAGAATCTGTCCTCACAGGAAGCTGGAATCACAGATGGAGTCAGGCCTCAAACCAAGGCACTCTGAAGTAGCATAGAAGAGTCCTAACTGACTTCACAGCCCCTAAACCAAATGTCCAACCAAAAATTAACTTTAACCTTAAAATACGTATTTTGGGACCTGGAACAGTAGCAAAGCAACTAAAGTCCTTGCCTTGCACGCATCAGGATCCCATATGGGAAGCAGTTATAATCCCGGCAGCCCCTTTTCCCATCCAGATATCTGCTTGTGGCCTGGGAAAGCAGTGAAGAATGGCCCAAAGCCTTGGGACCCTGCATCCATGTGGAAGACTCAGAAGAGGCTCTGGGCTCCTGGCTTCAGATTGGGTCAATTCCAGCCATTGTCATCACTTGGGGAGTAAATCAGTGGATGAAAGATTTTCCTCTCTGTCTCGCCTCCTCTCTGTATATCTGACTTTACAAAAGAAAATAAATAAATCTTTTTAAAAAAAATCTAAAAAAAGGAAAATATGTATTTTTAGAGATTTATTTTATTCAGTTGAGATACAAAGTTACAGAGAGAAGGAGAGACAGAGATAGAGGTGTTTCACTCTCTAAATGGCTGCACCACCTGGGGCTAAGCCAAGCCCAAACCTAGAGGAATGATCTTTCTCTGTGTCTCCCACATGGTGCAGGGGTCCCATATTCGAGCCATCTTCTACTGCCTTTCCAGGTGTGTTAGCAGGGAATTGGATTAGAGTTGAAGTACCTGGATCTCAAGCCAGCACTCATGGAATACAGCACTACCACAGCACAGGCCCCTGGAAAATACTTTACAGCTAAATATTTTATGGCACAATATGATCTAGGATGTTTCTTTTAATGTAAATCATAAAATTAAATTGATACATTTTACCCGAATAGGGTTTTCAGTAAGCACTCTAGCTCTCACGGAGATGATGTTGCACCCTTGTTGAGTCATCTATTGGGAAGGGAGTGCTTGTACAATGCAGATTCAGATCTTAGGCTGAGTCCCTGTATCCTCAAAAAACATTGCTAAATAAGTGGTATAGTTGATTTGGAGTAAATTAATATTCTGAGAATTTAAGCAATTTACCTCTGTCTTGACTCTGAATCATCACATCACAGTAGAGGGAAGTGTAATAATTGAATTGCCTAAGCAAATGATGAAATTTCCAATAATTTTGGACATTGTCTTCAGGTGATGCATACTTGAGACTTCCTCTATGATTGTAGCCCCACATAGGTGCATTAACATAAATAAACATTTAAGGAAACAACTTCTGGTTTAGGATAAAGTCCGTCTGCCTGCTATTAGACAACACTTCTTATTTTATGTAACTTGGACATTATCAAATTTTAAAGCAATTTTTTTGCAATTTTACAATTCCCGCATTAAGAGTGTATAAGAAAATCAAGATCAGGGATTATCTCCTGAGTTAGTGTTGTAATACTGATTACTGACTCTTAGTAGACACTACACAGCCATTTTATCAGCAGGATATAATGAATACTATGGATGCATTTCTTTTTCAAGTCCATACATGTTTTTTGTTTTAAAAACATTCTGTATTTCAAATTCCAGATACTTAGCCAGGAATTGAGACAGAATATTTAGGAATACACATTTTCATATTCAAAAATATTTCACAAGATATTCTGTAATGTAGGGGTCTTGAGAGGGATGAATAAGACTTGTCCTGAGAGTGCGTGAAAGGGACCTGACGTGGTAGGCTAATGGCTGAAATCCTCACCTTGCACCCACTGGGATCCCAGGTGGACAGTTCCTGTCCTGGATGCTCCGCTTTGCTTCCAGCCTCTGCCTGTGACCTGGGAAAGCAGCCGAGGACAACCCAAAGCCTTAGGACCCTGCACTTGCGTGGGTGTCCTGGACCGAGCTCCTGGCTCTGGATCAGCTCATCTCCGGCCATGCTCTACTTGTACAATGAACCAGCAGACAGAAGATCTTTCTCTTTGTATCTTCTTCTCTCTGCATATCTGCCTTTCCAATAAAAATAAACAAGTCTTTAAAAATAGGGGGAAAAAAGAGTATATAATGTATACTATGATTCCATGTCATTTTATTACTTGCCAGATTCATTATGAATCACAACTGTCCCTCTTGCTATGTCGCTTCTCTGCAATCTGCAATTGGATTTCTATACTTATAACCTTGTTACTTTAGAATGTTATGTGAACGAAATCATACAGGTAAGGGTTTGTTTTCAGTTAAAATAATCCTTGTGAGATCGACCATAGTTATTGCAAAATCAATGATACATTTCTTTTTAGGCTAAATAATATTATATGATATAAACATATTACAGTTTGTTTAATCATGAACTAATTACATGATATTTAGGTTGTTTCCGATTTTGACCATTGTAAGTAAAGATGATGAATATTTGTTCTTAGCTTGTTGTGCGGATATTCAATTTCCAATCTGCTGTGAATTGCTATTACTAAAACATGTGCATTTAAATGTTTCCTTTGCTTTGTAAATAACTTGCCAAGCTACTTTGCAGAGTGATTGTGCCATTTTACATTTCTACTGTAATATATGAGACATGTACTTTCTCCAAATCTTCACCAGCATTTGGCGTCCTCATTGCTTTTTATTATTTTAATTGTTCTGTTATGCGTGTTGATTTAAAAAAATAACTTTTAAATTGTTTTCATTATTCCTTTAGGCATGTAATGATATCTAATCATGAATTCTCCAGGAGATCTGAGATACTGAACATCTTTCCATGTACTCTCTCACTACCTATAATTTCTTGTGAACTCAGATTTTTTCTTTGCCCAATTTCTAATTGTACTCTTTTTTATTATTATTATTATTTTTACTGTTGAGATCTGAGACTTTTGACATGCCTCAGAGACAAACTCTTTCTCACATAGGTTTAAGAGTTACAGAATTATTCAAATTACTTATTTGATATAACTTGTAAAGGTCGGTTGCTTTTGAATAGGACTCATTCAGCAAAGATGTTATTTGGTGTGCATACAGCTGTTTTAATAATCTCTTTCCACAATTTTTATTTCAGCAGTTTATATAGTTCATGGCTTATTCCTGAAATGAATGATTTATTTATTCCTTGCTTAGTCTTGCTAGAAATGTATCAATTCAACAAACATTTTCAAAGGTCTAATTTTCCTTTTATTGATTTTTTAAAATTTAACTTTTATCTGCTTTCTTTTATATCTGCTTTTTGGAGGTTTTTTTTTTTTTTTTTTTGCTTCTAGGTTTTTTTTTGCTGTCTAGGTTGTTGAGGTTGGAGCTTAGAAAATAACCAAGAGGTAAAGTCTCACATCTTCAACAAACACTGCTGAGACCATTGGATAGCAGCCCGCAGAACTAAGAAGCAAGACCCCACCTGTCCCCTTATACAAAATAAGCTCTAAATGGATCAAGGACCTAAATCTGTGCCTAGAGACTATCAAACTATTGGAGGAAAACATAGGAAGCACTCTCCAAGATTATAAGCACTGGGAAAGACCTCTTAGGAAAGATACCCAAAGCATAGGTAGTCAAAGACAAAATAAACAATTGGGACTACAACAAACTAAGAAACTATATCTATGTTAGGATACACTTAAATAGCAGAATCATGGACTTGTGGCTGTTATTGATGGACTAAACTATTGTTACAAAATATGTAAAAACTGTTGGAGGAGGGCGTGTGGGAGGGAAAATATCGAGCTAAATTAACTGTATCACATACAACAACCAAATGTTCTCTTTTACATCTAGAAGCTATAATGAACACACACACACACACACACACACACACATGCCACATTCTGATCACTTTATGCTAGTTGCTGGTGGGTGGTAGGAGCAAGAGCTTGGATTGAAAATCTGAGTGCGCCTGGTGTAGTGGCCTAGCAGCTGAAGTCCTCACTTTGAACGCTGCGGGATCCCATATGTGCGTTGGTTCTAGTCCCGGCAGCTCCACTTCCCATCCAGCTGCCTGCAGTAGAGAATGGCCCAATGCCTTGGGACCTTGCACCCATGTGGGAGACCTGGAGGAAGTTTCTGGCTCCTGACTTTGGACTGGCGCAGCACCAGCTGTTGAGGTCACTTGGAGAGTGAATCATTGGATGGAATCTCTTTCTCACTGTCTCTCCTCCTTTCTGTATATCTGACTTTGCAATAAAAATAAATAAATGTTTAAAAAAACAAAATATGAATGTGAATCACTAATGTCACAAATATGCTAATATAAGATATTGGAAATAGAGAATGTAGAAATAGGTCTTATGGGAACTGCTTTTATTAAAATTTGTTTTACAATTTTAAAATTATTCTGAAACAAAATGTTAAATAAATTTTAAGTTTATAAACTGAAAATATTAAAATCATGTGTTTTAAATGTACCATCCTGTATATTAAAAAACTCAATAATATGATCAGTGCAGAATTAAGCTTTAGAACATTTAGAATTTTTGTTATTCTTTTGGAAATATTAAAAAGTTATCCATATTATTTTGGCTTTCAAAACTTTGATATAATTTTTCTTAGGCATGGTCTTAAAATCATGTTTATACATAAAATGTCATATAATAATTTTAATATGTTTTGGAAGTGAGACAAAAAGTTTTTATGGAAAACAGTTACACACCTTCGAATATTTGAAGGACCATCTAGTTAAAATTGGAATGAATCGTCGTTTCAACTACGATGGGTAGAATGATGTAAGTATTCTCAAAAAAGATCAAACTATCTCATGAAATGTGTTCCTTACCACTGGGAGAAATTGCCCTGAAGTTAGATAACTGCTAAATCATGCAATCAGTTTATAACAGAAAGTTGAAAAGTTATTTTTCTAATTAAGAATCAGTTAAATCCAATGTACTACCTTCAATGAACTCACTCAATAATAGTTTTTTCGTTCTCATTCCTGGAAAAATTATTTTGTAAAACATAATTACTCCCACTGCAGGCTAACCCTAGCTCTCCAAAGGATGATTTCTTATTTCCCACATGAAATTGACTTCCTGGATGATAACCTGAGGCTTCACATTGAGCCACCAATGTTTTGTAATTGTATGACAAAGGAGAAGGGCAGCAAATCTCCACTCCAGGGAAGCTGAGAGCTTAGTTATAAAAGGTTTAGTGCAGGCAAGTTGAAATGGATCAAGACTATATTACAAATGTTCTCTGCAGGGAAATCTCACAACATAGTGTAGGCAGTTGGGAAACAAACAGGAACATCAACTTTGGAGAAAAAAAAGGGAATATATGAAATGCTGAAATCATTAGCAGTGCAAGTATTACACTCATTGTAAACAAACTCAGCTAGGAGCACTAGGGAACTTACTGATGTCTTAGTCAAACTGAAAACTCTAAGCAAGGCCAATTTCTGATCTCTGCATCGGCTTTATGATTCTCTCATTGCACTGATTGAGGCAGCTGAGGCAGGAATGCAATTCAAATTTGATAAACAGTGAGATAAACAACCTCTTCAACCTCTTCTTTTTTTTTTCTAGACAGAGAATATTTAGCTGTCAGTTGAACAAGTGAGTTAGAATAGGGGAAATTTTTCTAGCTATTTCTTTTCTTTTGGAAAATGAAGAGTGGCAAACTGATTTTCTGAAATCACATATTTTTTCAATGAATTTAATCTCATTATTATTAAGTAATTGATATGCTCTGGAAATCTGTTTCAACACATAGAGTGAATTTTGAAGAATGCATATACTAACCCCACATTGTTAAACATCGTGCTGGACAAATTCTCATCTCAGTTTCTCTGTGGCCACTATTATCAATTGTAAAATGTATGAAGAAATGGTGGCTGCCTTGCAAGGTTATTGTCTCGGTAAAACGATAAACATACATCATATGATTAGAAGAGTGACCAGAACATTGAAAGATCTAAAAAATTATATTGTTAATATCACTATATAAAGCACATCTTTAAATTGGCATATATGTAAGTATTTATAGGTTGTTGTGTGATTTAGTTAAGTGGAAAATTCTACTAAAAACTAAGACTTGTAATTTGGAGTATGTTTTCCTATTATAATGGCCTATTGTTAGTAAGAAATGCAATAAATATTAGTGGTGGTAGTAACAAAATGGATATGCATGTTCTGTGTCAAGAATAATGCTTTGTTTATAATCTAGATGATGTTGAGTGAAATTATAGTGCTTTCTTTATAACTACCATAACATTTAATAAGTTTTTCACCATGAAGTAGATGTTGCCAGAATTTCCTTGTGATGTCAAACTTTATTACTTTAAATTCATTATAACTTCTAGGAACTTTTTTAGTCTTAGAAATGGGAACTTTTTAATTCAAATGTATATTCCCCCCCCTCCTTTGTCTATATCAGCGCATGATCCTATATGCTTACATCATCCCAAATCTTCCCCGTGAAGACGAGACTGCCAGGATGGAAATCAGTTTGCTATTCTTTAAAACATCTTTTAAAGATTTATTTATTTTAAAATCACAACTAGAGAGAGAGAAAGAAAATTACAATCTTCCATCTGCTGTTTCACTGCTCTGATGGCTGCAATAGCCAGAGCAGAGCCAGTTAGAAACCATCTTGGTCAACTATGAGCAAGCAAGGATCAAGCCTTTGGACCTTCTTCTGCTGTTTTTTTTTAAGGCCATTAAGTGGGCTTTGGGTCAGAAGTGGAGCACCCAGGATGTGCACTGGTGTCCCTCGCCATTCAGGCTTGGTGGATGGCAGCTTTCCCTGCACTGATCGCCTGTTTTGATTGGTGAGTAAGTTCGTTTCCTGAGTTGTTTTCAAAACATGATGTAGTAACCAAATACAAAGGTGGAAACCCCAAAAGGGTAGACTTTAGTGCTTTGATATCTAGGTTAAAATTACATGGCACTCAGTGGGTTAAAATGCAGCCTGTGATGTCAGCTATAATGTCACCACCAATGAAAATCTTTTTAAAAATTATGTAAAGAAAGCTTACAAACAGTTTAAGCATATTTTACTTGATTCATTTATGATTATTGACACGTATTCACTTTTTAAAATATTAAACATAAAATTAAAAATAAGTGATATTTTTATGGTATTTGAATAAACTTATTCTAACAGAAGGACTAAATAAGGTGAGGGCAGAATGTCAATAAATGTGAAATAAATAAATACCTCTTATGTGCTTTGGGTAAACAATGCTAAATTTGAAATGGTTCCTAAACTCTTCAGGAAATGTAAGTAAATTTTTCTTCTAAAATCAAGTGACCACCTCTTTATAACAAAAATGCCAAAAATTGTAGTGATAATTTACACGCTACTTGGATTTTCCCTCTTGACAATCCGGTGCGTGCTTGGATTTTGTCATGTGTGGTCCCATGGGATATTTCCCAAAGAATCATTCCTGAAAGCTGATATGATAAATTCAACGCTGTCAGACTCATATTGGAAAAAATAAAGCACACATTGTGAAGAAAGAGATGGAACTACACTTGTAGTTATCAGTTATTAATGATTTGTTGGTCTTATCCAACAAAAGAACCTTGATTAGCTGTCTATAAGGATCAGGGAAGAGCTCTGGACCTTCAGAAAAACTTGCAGTGTCAGTATTACATTCTGTTTTTAGGAAATGTCAAATTGTTTCCACTAAGCTTCTCTTGACACTTCCAGCTACTGAAGGCTCACTTACCCTTTTGTTGATGCCTAATGGTATCAAAAATTTGGCTCTGATCTGCCTTTCCCAGTATAGACTTTATGGCTTGATTCTAAGTTCTTTTCTAAAGCCCGGCTGCTTAACTTTATGGTTACCATTTCTGTCGACTTTTTTCTGAAACAACCCCATCATTCAGTTTGGATGAAAAATCTCCAACTCTCACAATTTCAAAATAGTTTTATTTGAGTTAAAATTGAATAAGGCTAAACAGATTTAGATAAAAGAGAATACATACGGAATCTGTTCTAAATTTTTGAAATTGCCACAGCAGTAATGTGTACTAATTATTAAAAATTTTTATTATTTATGAACTTTTCATTAAATTAACACAATTAAGTGTATAATATTTCTTTTGCCAATTAAATACAAAGCTAAATGCATTGATATTTTCCTCATTTTTTCCTTCTTAGGCCATTGTAAATTGGAGAAATGGGTCACACAAATGAATCAGTAGTGTCTGAGTTTGTACTTTTGGGACTCTCCAATTCTTGGGAACTTCAACTTTTCTTTTTTGCCGTCTTCTCAATCATCTATGTGGCATCTGTGCTAGGAAACATCATGATTATTGTCATCATTTCCTGTGACTCCCACCTGAACTCTCCCATGTACTTCCTGCTCAGTAATCTTTCTTTCATTGATATCTGCCAAGCTAACTTTGCCACTCCCAAGATGCTGGTGGACTTCTTTGTTGAGCACAAGACTATCTCCTTTGAAGGCTGCATGGCACAAATATTTTTTCTTCATACCTTTGTGGGGAGTGAGATGATGTTGCTAGTGGCTATGGCATATGACAGATTTATTGCCATACGTAAGCCCCTGCACTATAGTACCATCATAAACCGCAAACTGTGTGTAATTTTTGTGTCTATATCCTGGGTTGTTGGTATTCTTCATTCTGTGAGTCACTTGGCTTTTACAGTGAATCTTCCATTCTGTGGTCCCAATGAGGTAGATAGCTTCTTTTGTGACCTTCCCCTGGTGATAGAGCTGGCTTGCAGGGATACATTTAAAACACAAATTATAACCTTGATTAACAGTGGCCTGATCTCACTGAGCTGTTTTCTGGCTTTGATTATTTCCTACATCATCATTTTGGTCACTGTCCGCCGTCAGTCCTCCAGTGGGTCATCCAAGGCACTCTCCACCTTAACTGCCCACACAACAGTGGTAATTCTCTTCTTTGGGCCTTGCATTTATTTCTATATATGGCCATTTAGCAGATTTTCTGTGGATAAATTCCTTTCTATCTTCTACACTGTTTGTACACCCTTATTGAACCCCATCATCTACTCTCTGAGAAATGAAGATGTGAAAGCAGCTGTGAGGAAGTTGAGAAGCCGTCATGTTAACAGCTGGAACAATTAGGGATCAGTAGACAGCAGCATGACCAGGAGGGAAGAACCTCTGAAGGCTCACAGAATTGTTCCCAAAACTTCTGCTTACGGTATGACATTATTCTATATTTTGACATTAAATTATATTTTTCACCGTATTAGATTTTTTCTTACCTTTTCCTCTTGTGTTAAACATTTTGTTATTTGTAATTTGCTTATTAAATATTTATTTATGTGTAATTTTTTCTGTAAGCTATTCTTTTCCTTTTTTTTTTTGCATTTTTTAGGTTATTCAATATATATTTATACTTACCAGAAAACTTATTCAATGTATTTGATGCCCTCACCATCATTCATCTTAGAAGAAATTTTTATTATTAACTATGCGTTAGTCACAGTGCCCACCACATAATTTGCAAAAGATAGAAATATCTTAGTAAATGTCTATAAACACATTCAAAAAGCTACGTTTACATTTCTAAATGATACAGCTACATAAAATGAGAGAAATTAACCACAAGCGCAGATAAAACTCTGAGATGCATTCTACCAGACGTTTTGGAAAACATTAATAAAACAAACTCCTGAATTTGTTTATATAAATTGTGCCTATTAAGTGTTGTTTGGTTTCTTAGCCAAATGTCTTATATAATGCCTCCAGGGATTTGTACTTGGAAAAGGTCTTATAACAGAAAGACTGAGTGTGTTCTAATAATAAAAACAAGATCTGTTTAACAGAAATCCAAAACCCTACAGTTATCATCACTGTAGACTCAGTATTTTAATTATACTTTTAGATATGAATTAGTGATTATATGCGTGATTGCTAATTCTGTATGCTGTGTCCTAGAAAAAAACAGAATTTTAGATATGGACACAATAGCTTGTTGCACTATCATAATATTGAGCTATCTTTTTTAAACTTTGGATTTTCAATTTCATTTGTAGAATGTGAACCATACCACAATCTTTTAAACTTATTTATAATTTAATTTTCTAGTTAAGCAATCAGTTTGTATGTACAGAAAACATTAAAGTGGCACTGACAGTTTTCATGGTATGTTTCTCCTTGCCTGCTGGTGAAAGTGAAGGGATATGAATGCTTGAAAGACCAGGTCATTTCATTTCTCATTCCTCAGTATTTGCATATATATACATATATACATATATACATATATAATAGTTAATAATAACTATATCACAGAAGCTAACATGCAATTAAAGAATATGTTGGGAATAAAAGTACTTGATGCAGTGTTACATGTTATACAAACAGTTTTAGTGACTACTGATTATAAGCACGTACTTTTTTAGAATCTTGCATGAATATGGATTCTGTGCAGGTGAACTTCTGCTACTTCCGACAGTGAAATTAAATTGATGATGCATGTGCACAATGCTTTTTTTCTTCCATCTTATTTCAAAATGCAATAAGTTTTTAATAAGTATTTGTTCTGAGCATCATCTTAGAAATGAAATCAAATGCATTTGTAAACAAATGAATAAGCCAATAATGTGCATAATTACAGGGTTATTTTTCCTTTGAGAATTCAGGTGGAACTAATGCGGCGAACACCTTGATTCTGGAGTTACTACTTTGAGAATTGATGAGTTGACCTGCCTTTGTTAGACATCTTAGAATTATGATGAAATAAACACAAAATTAAAATATGAGATGGGTTTTATAATTACATTAATATATATTTTGATAATATAACCATGAGATAATAAAAATCCACCAGAATCCTGAGGAATCATAGAAGCAGATCTTTTCACAGTCAAGTCTTTGATGAGTGATTTTGCTATATAAATGCAAAATAAAATTGTGCTCTTCACTCACTGGTGAATTTAAAATGACATATCTAATAAAGAATAGAAGCAAGACTCATATATATGTCCTCAATTGGAAATCCGGTTTTAGTATAAACATATAGTAGTTCACAAGCCAAAATGTGAGGAAATATTGTAATATACCATGAGCATCTTGGACAAATTCTTCATGACATAAATTGTTTATGTGTATCTAAAAATTACTTCCTGAGTATAACATTGGCAAAGCAAGTAAACTTTGATAATAAAATTGAAAAGGAATTTAATAATCTAAAAAGTATATTTGTAGATCCTGAGACCGGCATGGTGGCCTAACAGCTCAAGTCCTCACCTTGAATGTACTGGGATCTCATATGGGCATTGGTTCTATCCTGGCAGCTCCAATTCCTAACCAGCTCCCTGCTTGTGGTCTGGGAAAGCAGTCGAGGATGGCCCAAAACCTTAGCACCCTCCACCCATGTTGGAGACCTGGAAAAAGCTCCTGGCTCCTGGCTTCAGATCACCGCAGCACCAGCCATTGCAATCACTTAGGGAGTGAATCATTGTACGGAAGATCCTCTCTGTCTCTCCTCCTCTCTGTATATCTGACTTTGCAATAAAATGAAATAAATAAATATACATATTTATAGATCCAAGATGATAAATTTAAAACATTAATACAAATTTAATCTTCCCACTAGAAAAATAACATTGTGAGAGTTTTATGCTCCTTCTGAGTTCAATTAAAAAGACAAATGAAATGTATACTCATCTATTAAATGGCATCAAATTATTGCTAAAACAATGAGATGATGGAAGCAGGTGATCTCAGATAAGTGGTCACATTTCTGTGGTTCCATTTCCCTAAATGTGTGTTTGCATGGCTAGTTTTACCCAGTTAATGGAGAAGTTTTTATGTGCTGATGGTTTCTTGGAGCTGGAGATTAAAACCTGAAGCCTGACAAGATTTCAGAGACCTAATCTATTTTCAAAACTGTTAGGGCGAAAGACCATGTATATACCAGACCTCATTTAAAGCATCTGTGAGGGTATATTGCATTCCTGGAGAAAAATTGGAAGTCCACCTTAGCTTTATCAAAATGCAATACAATTTCTGTTCAATAAATCCCTGGTTGGATTTTGGCTTCAGACTCCATGTCTTTCTCTTCCTCTTATTATAATCTTTTATCAGTTTCTTTGCTCTGCAGTATAGAGAAAAACAGGAGGCAAAAATAAAAGTTAGGATAATGTAGTCTACTGTAGTCAAGCCATGGGATCTCAAAACAGAAAAAGTAAACAGTAAGTGGACAATAAAAGAAAACATAGCAAAATCAGTGAAATCAGTGAGTTTGAGATGAAGATGTGGGGAGCAGTGGTATAACTGCCTTACAGTACAGTGGAAGAGCTGGGTGTGGAATATACAAAATTTGCATTATGTATATAAGCAAACAATGAACTTAATTTAGAAAAAGAAAGTTTGGCTAAATTTGTGGAAAGTTGGAATATCTGGTGTCTAGTTCAATAGTTACATTTTGGCATCTCAGTGTAACCAATTGATGGTCACAATGGCCTGTAATCTGGGGATAGCATATTTCCATTTTGTATAGTATCCTCTCCTATATTCATTCACAAGACACATGTTTACAATAATCTACAGATGAACTTCAATTTATTTGAACAGTTAATAAAAACTATTTCTTGGGCCTGATGTGATAGCCTTGTGCCTAAACTCTTCACCTTGTACACACCAGGATCCCATACAGGCACTGGTTCTAATTCTGGTGGCCTGCTTCCCATCCAGCTCCCTGCCTGTGACCTGGAAAAGCAATCAAAGATGGCCCAAAGCCTTGGAACCCTGCACCCACTTGGAAGACCCGGAAGAAGCTCCTGGCTCCTGGCTTCAGATCAGCTCAGCTCCGACTGTTGCAGTCACTTGGGGAGTGAACCATTGGAGAGAAGATCTTCCTCTCTGTCTCTCCTCCTCTATGTATATATCTGACTGTGCAAGAAAAATAAATAAGTCTCAAAAAAAGTTTCCTATTCCCATTTTTAAAAAGTTACTTAAGACTGAGACAATGGATAAAATCTATACTGAGAATAATCAGGTTGGTTTTAAATAGGAGAAAATACATTTTTCATATCAAGAGAGTACATGTAGAGATGAAAATGAGATTATCTTACATAAAGCATAGTAATGACAAGGTCATTATTTGCACTTTCATTCTCTACAATTACATAAGCCCAGAGTGATTAAATGCTCCACAGAATGTTGATTACCACAGGCTAGGAATATTGGGAGGCATAAAAGGAGTTTGGATTTTAGAATACAGATGCCTTGTATTGTTCATTGGAAAAAAAAACATGTTACGTTAAAGGAGGGAGGAATGGGAAAATACATGTGGGCATTCTTTAAGTTGGTACTTCCAAATCTTTTCATTCATAACTTAGAGCTATTTGAAAAGAAGATGTTTAAAAATGAAATAAGGGGAAAACGTTTTGTTTCTGTATCTACACTAATAAAATGACTCATTCGGGATAAGTCACTCATCAAATTTCCTGATGTGCCATTTGTGATGAAGATTAGGAGATAATGGCCAAAGCATTTTTGTTATTGTTGCTTCTACAGGCATTGCTACAGGTGCATACTGCCAATCATTTCAACAACACTGCATTTCATATTCTCAACAAGAATTTTCCTCATCCAAAAAGTTTGTCCCCATGCACTTCTCTGTTTCTCAAGCCCCTGCAACAAACACCATATATTCTGTAACTACACACTTGCTTAATTTGACTTTTTAATATGAATGGAATACTTAGTAGATTATATAGTAGATATATGCCCTTCAATAAGAGTCTTTCTACTAACACAATGTATGGTTAAGTAGTGGCACTCGCTTTCTTTTTTATAATATCATAGCATTCCATCATATGACTATGCCTTATTTCTTCATCCATTCATCAGTTCATGGACCTTTGGCTTGTTTCCATTTTGAAATAATTATGAATCAAGTTGCCATGAGAAATCACAGAAACGACTTGATGTGAGCATGTTTGCACTTCTCTATAGTGTATATTCAAACATGGATTTGCTGTCACTTGATAACACAACGTTAAATACTCTGATGAAGTATCAAACTGTTTTCCAAAGTTGGGTGTCCCACTTTACTGCCTAACCAGCACTGTACTTGTAGACATCAATTTTTCATATCTTCCTCAAAATTTGATATTTATTATCATTTATT